TTGCCTGGGGTTCACCTGCAGCAGCTGCTGAACAGCAAGGGTTGTTACCAGTTTTCTTCTTCTGCTATCTTTGTCCCAGAAGGATACCCGCCTAGTGTCAATCTGATCTCTCCTCTATGAGGTGTCTTTTTGGATATATAGGGGTCAGGGAGCTGCTTGAGGAGACAGTCTTTTCTTTATAGGAGCTCAAATGGTGAGCTGTGAGCTCTGTTGTTGTTCATTCAGAGCTGCTGGGCAGGTACTTTTAGGTCTGCTGCAGCTGAACTCATAAACTGCTTTTTGTTCCCAGGTGCTCTGTCCCAGGGATTTAGGGCTTTATTTATGAGTTTCCGTTATGCTGCTGCCTTCTTTTTTTTTTTTTTTTTTCTTTTTTTCCTTCAGACCTGCCCAGCCCAGCAAGGAGGCAGCCTAGTCACTGTCGGCCTATAGCAGCTTTGCTGAGCTGCTGTGGGCTGCGCCCTGCTGCCGAGTGAACTTCCCTGCAGTCCTGTTTATATGGGTGTAGTTAGAACTGCTTTGGCGATGGTGGCCTGCCTCTGTTGGGGCGGAATCTCTGCTGTGGCGTGTTGCCTTGGCGACGGCGGGCTGCCTCAGCAATGGCGGGTTGCCTTGGCAAAGGCGGGCTGCTTCAGTAATGGCGGACGCCCCTCCCCCACAGAGCTGGACTGAGGGACAGACTCTCTCAAGTGGCACACTGAACCCTGTGTAAAAAAAAAAAAAAAAAAAAATTCATACAGGAGAAATAACCCCAACATTAACAGAAAGGATGTCCACTCAGAGATTCTATCCAAAATCACCAACTTCAAAGATCAAAGATAGATAAATCCATGAAGATGGGAAGAAACCAGTGCAAAAGGGATGAAATCATCAAAGTCCAGAATGCCTCTCATCCACCTGAGGTAACATAACTCCTCATTGGTAGGGGAACAAAACAGGATGGAGAATGAATTTCATGAACTGACAGAAGCAGGCTTCAGAAGGTGGGTAATAACAAACTTCTCTGAGCTAAAAGATCATGTCCTAACCCAATGCAAAGAAACAAAGAACTTTGAAAAAGGTTAGACGAAATGCTAACTAGAATAACCAGCCTAGAGAAGAACATAAATGACTTGATGGAGCTGAAAAACACAGCACGAGAATTTCACAAGGCATACAAAAGTTTCAATAACCAAACTGATCAAGCAGAAGAAAGGATATTGGAGATTGAAGATCAACTCAATTAAATAAAACCAGAAGTCAAGATTAGTGAAAAAATTGTGAAAAGAAATGAACAAAGCCTCCAAGAAATATGGGATTATGTGAAAAGACCCAATATATGCTTGATTGGTATACCTGAATGTGATGGGGAGAATGAATCCAAGCTGGAAAACACTCTTCAGGATATTATCCAGAACTTCCCCATCCTGGCAAGGCAGGCCAATGTTCCAATCCAAGAAATACAGAGAACACCACAAAAACACTCCTCAAGGAGAGCAAACCCAAGCGACATAATCATCAGATTCACCAGGGTAGTTTGAACATAAAAATGCTGAGGGCAGCCAAAGAGAAAGATCAGGTCACACACAAGGGGAAGACCATCAGTCTCACAGGGGATCTCTTGGCAGAAACCCTACAAGCCAGAAGAGAGTGGGGGCCAATATTCAACATCCTTAAAGAAAATAACTTTCAACCCAGAATTTTCTATCCAGCCAAACTAAGCTTCATAAGTGAAGGAAAAATAAAATCCTTTATGGACAAGGAATTGCTGAGAGATTTCATCACCACTAGGCCTGCCTTGCAAGGGCTCCTCCAGGAAACACTAAACATAGAAAGATACAACCAGTACCAGCCACTGCAAAAACATACCAAATGCTAAAGACCAACAACACAATGAAGAAACTGCATCAACTATGGAGGAAACAACCAACCAGTAACACAATGGCAGGATCAAATTCAAATGTAACAATATTAACCTTGAATATAAATGGCCTAAATGACACATACTGGCAAACTGGATAAAAATTCAAGACCCATCGGTGTGCTGTATTCAGGAGACTCATCTCATGTACAAAGACACACACAAACTCAAAACAAAGGGATGGAACGAAGATTTACCAAGCAAATGGAAAGCAGAAAAAAGCAGTAGTTGCAATCATAGTCTCTGATAAAATGGAATTTAAACCAGCAAAGATAAAAAGAGACAAAGAAAGGCATTACATAATGGTAAAAGGATGAATGCGACAAGAAGAGCTAACGATCCTAAATATATATGCACCCAATACAGGAGTACCCAGTTACATAAGGCAAGTTCTTAATGACCTACAAAGAGACTTAGACTCCTGCACAATAATAGTGGGAGGCTTTAACACTCTACTGTCAATATTAGACAGATCAGCAAACAGAAAATAACAAGGATATCCAGGACTTGAGCACATATCTGGGCTAAGCAGACCTGATAGACGTCTACAACTCTTTACCCAAAATCCACAGAACATACATTCTTCTCAGCACCACATCACACTTACTCTAAAATTGACCACATAATTGGAAGTAAATCATGCCTCAGCTAATGCAGAAGAACAGAAATCATAGTAAACAGTCTCTCAGACCACAGCCCAATCAAATTAGAACTCAGGATTAAGAAACTCACTCAAAACCACACAACTTGGAAACTGAACAACTTGCTTCTTTATGACGAATGGATAAACAATTAGATGAAGGCAGAAATAAAAGTGTCATTCAAAACCAATGAAAACAAAGACACAACAAACCGGAATCTATGGTACATATTTAAAGCAGTGTCTAGAGGGAAATTTACAGCAATAAATGCCCATGAGAGAAGCAAGGAAAAATCTAAAATTGACGCCCTATCATCAAAATTGAAAGAGCTAGAGGTTCAAGCTCAGAAAACTCAAAAACTAGCAGAAGACAAGAAATAAGTAAGATTAGAGCACAACTGAAGGAGACAGAGACACAACCCTTCAAAAAATCAATAAATCCAGGAGCTGGTGTTTTGAAAAAATCAACAAAATAGACCACTAGCCAGACTGATAGAAAAGAGAGAAGAATTGAATAGATGTGAATAGATGTAATGAAAAAATTACAAATGGGAGATCACCACCTATTCCTCGAAAATACAAACGACCATCAGAAATTACTGCAATCCTCTCTATGCGTATAAACCAGTAAACCTGGAAGAAATGGACAAATTCCTGGACACTTGCACACTACTAAGTCCAAACAAGGAAGAAGTTGAATTCCTGAATAGACCAATAACAAAATTTGAAGTTGAGGGAGCAATTAATAGCCTACTAACCAAAAAACTCCAGGTCCAGACATGTTCACAGCTGAATTCTACCAGACGTACAAAGAGGAGCTGGTACCATTGTTTTTGAAACAATTCGAAACAATACAAAAAGAGGGAATACTGCCTAAGTCATTTTATGAGATCAACATCATCCTGATACCAAAACCTGACAGAGACATAACCAGCAAAGAAATTTTCAGGCCAATATCCATAATGAACATCAGTGCAAAAATCTTCCATGAAATGCTGGCAAACTGAATGCAACAGCACATCAAAAAGCTTATCCATCATGATCAAGTAGGTTTCATCTTGGGGATGCAAGGATGGTTCAACATATGCAGATCTATAAATGTAATCCATCACATAAACAGAAATAAAGACAAAAAACACATAATTATCTCAATAGATACAGAGAAGGCCTTTTGACAAATTCAACAAAGTAATAATAGCTATTAACGACAAACCCACAGCCAATATCACATTGAATGGGTAAAAACTGGAAGCCTTCTCTTTGAAAACTGTCACTATACAAGGATGCCTTCTCTCAACACTCCTATTCAATATATTATTAGAAGTTCTATCCAGAGCAGTTAGGCAAGAAAAAGAAATAAAGTGTATTCAATTAGGAAAGGGAAAGTCAAATTGTCTCTATTTGCAGATGACATGATCTCATATTTAGAAGACCCTATCATCACAGCCAAAAATCTCTTTAAACTGATAAGCAACTTCAGCAAAGTCTCCGGATACAAAATAAATGTGCAAAATCACAAGCACACCTATACACCAACAACAGACAAACAGAGAGCCAAATCATAAGCAAACTCCCATTCACAAGTGCTTCAAGGAGAATAAAATACCTAGGAATACAACTAACAAAGGATGTAAAAGACCTCTTCAAGGAAAACTGCAAACCACTGCTCAAGGAAATAAGAGAAGACACAAGCAGATGGAAAAACATTCCATGCTCATGGTTAGGAAGAATCAGTATTATGAAATTGGCAATACTGCCCAAAGTAAGTCATAGGTTCAATGCTATCCCCATCAAGCTACCATTGACCTTATTCACAGAACTGGAAAAAGCTACTTTAAACTTCATATGGAACCAAAAGAGAGCCTGCATAGCCAAGGCAATCCTAAGCAAAAGGGATTATTCTGGAGGCATCACGCTACCTGATTTCAAACTATACTACAAGGCTACAGTAATCAAAACAGCATGATACTGGTACCAAAACAAAAATATAGACCAAGGGAACAGAACAGAGTCCTCGGAAGTGACACCACACGTCTACAACCATCTGATCTTTGACAAACCTGACATAAGCAATGGGGAGAAGATTCCCTGATTAATAAATGGTGTTGGGAAAACTGGCTAGCAATGTGCAGAAAGCTGAAACAATCCATTCCTCACACCTTATGCAAAAATTAACTCCAGATGGATTAAAGATTTAAACTTAAGAACTAACACTTTAAAAACCCTAGAAGAAAACCTAGTTTTATTTTCTGGTTAATTCTAATCCAGTTTGTTAAATATATTTTATTAAAAGTCATTAGCCTGGGCATGATGGCTCATGCCTGTAATTCCAGCCCTTGGGGAGGCCAGGATGAAAGGGTGGCTTGAGGCCAGGAGTTCAAGTCCAGCCTGAGAAACTTAGTAAGACCTTGTTTGTATTATTTTTTTTTAATTATTTGGGCATGGTGACATGTACCTGTAGGCTTAGCTACTGAGGAGGCTGAGACAGAGGCTTGAGATAAAAAATATGAGGCTGCAGTGAATTATCATTATGACAGTGCACTCCAGCCTGGGTGACAGAGTGAGACCCTGTCTTTAAAAAATATCTAAATAAGTTAATAAAATCATTTTTTACAATGTTAATTTTGGTATGTTGTTACTCAATCTGTGCATCCTTCTGGCTCTCCTCATGTATGAACCATCAGGAGAGATTCATTTCTTGACCTCTTTTATCTCATTGAAAATGCTAAGTGTCTTTAGTATATGGAATATTCAGGACACTATTTGTTAGTATTTTTTCCTTTCCTGTGTTTTTATTAATATTTTGCTTTTTGTAATAACTATATGAAGAAATAACTATGTCTTTAGTGTTGTTATTGAGAAACATCGATATACATAACCAGTTCCCAGGGAGTAAGTAGTTTGAATATCTTAGTGCTCTAATGAGACTTGACTTTTCAGGCCACCTCTTACCTATACTGAGCTAACTTTCACACAGCTACTAGTTTTTTCTACACAGCCTACCAAGGGGTTGAATCATTTAAACACTAGCAAATGTGGTTAAATTACCCACATAAAAGACCAGACGTTTAGTTTAATTATTTCCTAAGAATTGTAACAGAGGAGTTTATGGTAAAAAGTGAAAAGTTGGACATACACAGTGGTTCCTGTCTGTAACCCCCGCACTTTGGGAGGCTGAGGTGGGCAGATCACAAGGTTAGGAGCTCAAGACCAGCCTGACCAACATGGTGAAACCCCATCTCTATTCAAAAATAAAAATTAAAAAGTGAGAAGTTGAAGGTGAAATAAGAGTGGCAAATGCTCTTTCTCCTTTTCTTCTTCAGACAAAACAAGGATACTCTAGAGTCCAGCTTTGCTAAAATATCATCAGATAGTAATGGGATGGAACTGTGGCCTTCAAAAATACTGCATAAATATTGCCCAAGTTTCTCTATGCTCTCAACCTCTGTTGATTCTTAAAGCACTGAAAGATCTTGGGAACTGTGCACAGATTCAACTTGTAAGAGCTATACTTTTTGTCTTTTCCTACATTTTTTCCCATAGGTCTACTTTTTTTTAACTTTACCCAATGAATTCTTCTTTTCAACTATTTTTCAAATTGTACGTCACAAAGTTTTATTCATGATCTCATATAGAAAACTATTTAACATTCTGTCACCCCCCAAAAGCACTGACCACCAGTTACCCACAGAAATCACGAATTTAAACATTATGTAACATGTTAAAATTTCTAAATCCTATCAGTACGTTTATTGATAATATATACATATTTGGGTCTATCTTTGGTCAAAAATTATCCAGACTTTCTAAATTATTTTAGTAGGGTCAAAAATATCTAGAATTCATCACACGTCTAATAAAATACTTATTTCAACCTCTAGTGTGGACTCATCATCTTAATTACAAATTGAGCTAATCCTCTGTTAGTTTAAATCTCATGAACATACAAAATTTAAAATAAAAGGAATCTT